GAAGTCAAAGAACTCAGCAAGGGTAACTTACTTTTTGTCACAAGGAAATCGGGCTTGTATTAATGTCAGTTATATAGAAGGGGGAAAGGACGGTTTATCTTCCTTGAATCTATTGCAGGTTGAGTATCCCTAATTCCAAAATCTGAAATCCAAAGTGCTCCAGAATTCATAACTTTTGAGCATTGACAAGACAATGGCAAATCCCACACCTGGTCTCATGTTTGAGGTCACAGTCAAAACACTGTAATACAAAAATGTAATATACAGTTACCTTCAGGCTATGTTTATAAGGGATATATGAAACACAAATTAATGTTGTGTTTAGATACCCCCAGGATAGCTCATTATGTATATGCAGATATTCCAGAACCTGAAAAAAAAAACAAGTTGAAAATACTCCTGGCTCCAGGCATTTCAGATGAGGGATATTTAACCTGTATTTCATTTTATTATTTGCATATAGTTGTGTTTAGATTCTCCATGGAAAATTTTTGGTTTGACCTTCATTTTTTCTTTGATATCTTTCGTTTTTATTCTTAAGCCTTATTTACTCAGGTATAGCAATGATTTTAATATTATATACTACTATCAACTTATACTCTTAAATATTTAAGTAGATGTTATTTTTTAAGCATTTTTAAAAAATGCTTAAAATTAGAAATATTCTGTAAGCCCCCTTTAAATGTTAGTCTCATCGCCAACAGACCGCTTTTGCCATGAACTTGGAAAGCCATCACCTGCTAAGATGACACGGACTTTGGCGATTTTAGCATATTAGCTGTAAAGCACTGTCGTGTTTATTAATCGTCATTTTTCTCTGGAACCCATAAGCATCTGGACTCCCTGACTTAAGCTTTCATATGCCAGTTGCCTTTTACTTTTTAAAATTTTGCCTGAGAGAGAAAACAAGAAAGCAACTCCAGGCCCATAGGAAATGGTCATGCCACCATCCCTTCTTCATGTCTCCCTCCCTTTGGGATTTGGGCATGCACACACACACACACACACACCAGGCATGCTTTTCAAGTGTCTGGGTCTGAGACTCAAACTGTGCAGCTGGCCATGTGAGATCTAGCTGCCTTACATGGGCTGGTCCTGTTTTTATTAATACTTTCTTTTTTTATGCTATGTGGCGAGTTTCTTGGCTTTATCTTCTTTTTTCTTAAAAAGAATTATTTATTTATTTATTTAGACTTGATCAGTAAGGGGCAGAGAAAAAGAGAAAGGGAAAATGAAAAAGCAAGCTGCCAGGCCCAGGACTTGAACCGTATCCTTAACCACCACACCACCTGTGGGAGTCTAGTGCCCTTAACTACCACTGCCACTTCTAAGCCCCTCTTGAATTTATGTTCTGAACTTATTGTTGAATTTATTTTTGGAAGTCAGATTTTATTTTCCACAAACTCTCTCTTGTTTTCTGGCTGTTCTTCATTCATATTATCCTCCTCTTGTTTTATGGCTCCATTGTCTTTTCAAAGAATTCTAAAGATACTAATTAGAGGTTTTTTTAAAGTTCCTTTCTGTTTTCTCAGTGAGCTCTATTTCTTCTGTGGTTAGCTTTTCTCTTTGTTGATCTGGTCTGTCTCGTTACAGTCCTCGGTTTCCTCTACTCTCCGGTGTTTCATGATTGCTCTTTCATATCTGAGGAGGAGGGAAAAGGAAGGAGTGATTGTGGACAGCCTTTGTTGATGGACTTCTGTGCTTTAGGGTGATTTGGGTATATCAGCCATCACACTGGGGGGCCCTAAAGGGCCACACCAGACTGCCCTGGGTACTCCTTCCTGTCACCAATAGTGTGGTGAAACCTGCCTTCTGGTTGCTTTTCTCCCAGTTTTGGGTTGATTTTAGCCCTTTGCTCAAATCTGAATGTTTCTTGGCAGAGAGAGAAAATAAACACCAGTACTCAAGCCGCCATCTTGAATCAGAATCCTAATTTCTTCTCTAAATTTGAAAGCTTGATGTTTTTTATTATGAATCGGATGAACAAAACTTGTCACAGTCTTGTTTTGTATAATTTTACAGATTCTCCTGCACTTAAAACACTACAGGATGATTTTCTGGAGTTTGCTAAAGACAAAAACTTCCAGGTGCTGAATTTCGTAGAAACTCTGCCAACCTATATTGGTAGCATGATTAAGCTCCACGTGGTGCCCGTGGAATCAGCAGGTATTTGTTCTTCTGAAAATTATTGGCCATGACTTAAATGTAAATTTTTATATCCTATTTCTCAGTTTTAGATAGTTTTATAAAGATATATATTCTAATTATATTCTTTTCAGCTGTAGATTAAAATGTCTGTGCCAGTGTGTAACTGTAGGTTACTCTACCCCTCCCTTCATTTAATTGATTACATGACAAAGGTCATTGGGCTAAGTCTAAGGCAGCAAGCATGAACCACGTTGGTTAAGGCAAGAAGATACGCTACCAGCCGATTGAGAGGGTTAACACATTGACAGCTGCATAGGGGAACCTCCGAAAAAAGCAACAAAGGTGTGGAGGCTTTAGTAGATACAAGGGGTATGGGGAATATTCAAGCAGGAAATCTTCCAGTGGGAAAAGCCAGTGTTAGAGCAGAGTCCGGCTGAGGGGTAGTGGGCCCTGCTGCTGCACACGGCACGTTCCAGCGTGCTGTCGGCTCTCTGAGTGCAGAGCCTGTGCTTCGCTCTCATCGTAGCCTCCCGATTGCTCTGTGTCTACAGCTGCCCCATACACGCCACCGCCTGACTTGCTCTTCCTTCCCCTGGCCATCCCCATGACTTGCTCGCCACCTCTGGGAGCCCTGTTCTGGGCTTATTTTATTTAGCTTTTATTGATATTTTTCTTTTCTCCAGATTTAGGCATTGGAGACCTAATTCCTGTGGACGTAAACCATTTGAACATTTGTAAGCCAAAGCAAAAGGATGCTTTTTTGTACCAACGTACTTTACAATTCATCCGTGAAGCTCTAGCCAAAGACCTTGAAAACTAACCCTCACCTTCCATTTTCACGTGTGAATACAATGCAAGAAACTTGGTATCTTCTTCCTCTTCTTGAATTCTAAACAACCGTGCAGCTGTTACCCCGTGACATCCGCGTTTGGAGCGGGGTTGCAGCATCGCACAGCCCTGCATGGAAGTGGCCAGTGCGGGAGGGAGGGCTGCCTCGGGTTCTTGTGACTGAAAGGGGTCCGGCGTGCCACTGTGTGGGCTGCAGTGTCAGGCCTGGAGACGGGAGACAGCTGCTGTGGGCAGGGAGCCTCGTGTCCCCTGTGCCTGCCCCAGCTCACCCAGCAGCAGCACCGGCGTCCTGGAGGGAAAGCCAGTGTCAACTCAGCTCCGCGGAGAGAGGAATGGACTGGGACACGGAGGACGTTTTGTTCTGGGTACCCATGAGGTGTAACTTTTTAAAACATCAGCTTTTTAATTTCTGAGTTTCTGAGTTAAGCCTTTGTCCAAATTATCACAGGTATTTGTCAGATCTAGTGTCATGCACGGGTCACTTCCTTGTATGTTTCTATTTTTTTATTGCTGAGAATGAACCTTTTTCTTTTTTAAAAAAATCCTAGTTGATAACATTCTCTCCAGCCTGTCACCATCCGTGCTTGGAATCTGTCCCAGACAAGGATATAGCAGCGAATCCATTGTTGATCAGAGTATAAGCCACTATATGTACTAGCAACACTTGGTATCAAGATTCTCAGATCCTCTCTGGCTGAATACAATCTGCCTGCCTTTCTTGCTCATTTGGAAGTAGCACTGATTGGCCCTCAGCGTGTCAGTGTGTAAAAATTGAGAAATCATGTCGTTAGGCTTTTTTCTTTCTGAATGACAGCATCATTGAGATGCAATTCACATACCAGACAATTCACCGTTATGTGTACAGTTCACTGGTCTTAAGCCTGTTCAACTTACGCGAGCATCAATGCCGTCTAATTTCAGAGCATTTTTTCCCAAAAAGCATCCCAAACCTATTAGAAGGCATTTCCCCCTCCACTCTCCCCAGCTTCTGGGAAACACGAATCTACTTTCTTTTGGTCTCTGTGGATTTGCTTATTCTGGACATTTCCTGTAAATCACATCACACGATACGTGGCCTTCTCTGCCTGCCTTCTAGTGTAACGATGTCCAGGTTAATTCGTGACGTCACATGTGTCAGTGCTTCATTCCGTTGTGCGGCCAAAGCCCTTCCACTGTGTCATAAGCGCGGCCTTTGTTAGCCATTCTTCAGCCGATGGACATCTGGTCTGCATTTGGCGATCGTGAATGATGCTGCTGTGGACATTCGTGTGCACGTTTTTAATTTTCTTGGGTGTGTACGAGGAGGGGACTTGCTGGCCAGGTGATCAGGCTGTGCTTAACCTTTGGAAGATGAGGGGCTTTGCCGTCAGAGCTGGAGCTGGAGAAGAGCCTCTAACGGGAAACGAGTCAGCGACAAACCTGGTCAGCATCTCACTGTTTAATGATACAGCAAAGACTTTACTCGTCTTACTGTGGAATGCAGCAACCACGGCAGTACAAGGGTGCTTTTAAAAGTTTGTGCAAAGTGGAATTAAAGTATGAGTTTATTTTGGTACCAAAAAAAAGAGAAAAAGCCCTTAATCTGTGCAGAGTTTTTGTTGGTACTGTATTTCCATGAACTTTTTGAAGGTAACAGTGTGCTGGCTAATGAGATGACATGAGGAGGTGGGTATCTTCGGTACATTTTCTCGTTCTGTTTATGAGCCAGTACAGATAAGCCACAGTTGAAGTAACGGTTGATTTACTTGGAGTGATAGAGTGAAACGCCATTCCTTAAAGTCAGTGTAACTATTGGGTTGTCAGCAAAGTCAGGACGTATTTTTCTGTCTTTTTCTATGTAAAAATGCGTCCTGACTTTTCTGACAATCCAGCGTTACAGCTGTGCTTTAAAAATAAGTTCTGGGAGCACCATCCAGCGCAGCACTAGATTGCTATGGTTTTCAGTCAAGCCACTTAGCATTGCTTTTTACTCCATCTGTCTGCAAAATGGAGAGGCCACCCCCTGTTCATCAGGCTAGCGGGTCTGGGTGAAGGGTACAGTACACAGGGCGAAAAGAAGTGGCATGGTGTTTAAGCAGTATAATAAAGCAAGACAGACAAGGATAGATGGTGGCTGCAGGCTCAGTGCACACTCCCTTGGGACAACAAAATGTAATAAACAGGAAAGGGAGAGCCAGTTCCGGCATCGAGCAGGAACAGCACATTGAAGAGCACAGACAGGCCCAGCCTGGGTGGTGCGGTGGGTGGCACACTGAGCTGCACACCCAGTGCTGGAAGCCACCGGGCCAACCGCAGCCTCTGATCCCCATCGACGGGAAGCACCAGCTCTGTGTGTGCCTAAGACCTCCATGAACTAGAGGGCTGTGGGGAGGGGACTGTGGCTTGGTGAGACCCTGTCAGTGGTGCCTGGTTTTCGGTCTCCCTTCCTCCCCCTCACATGTGAAGGTACACTCTCAGGAATGGCAGACACACGCACACACATACACATAAACATATGTGTATATATATATATATAACACACAAGTGAAAATCCTACTGGGAGGGTAACATGATAAATACAGATCCACAATAGCTACAGAATGAAAGTGAAATGATTGGAGTAGTTAGGAGATAATGATCATTCAATAGGCAGGCATCGTCATCAAACTCAAGGAACAGGGACCTGCGTTTCCTGATAAGTTTGTTGATTAAATACGACCATTAAAAAAGAAAAAGAATTAAAATACTGCACTTTAAAATACACTCAAATCCCCTAGAAACAAAAACTCATGTTAAAAAGCAATAACGTTGGAGGACCAGCAGATGGAATAGTGGTTTAAGTCACTGGACTCCCATGTAGTTGACCACAGTTCAAGTCCCAGATCCAGCGGCTTGAGACTCATGCCAAGCATATTTGCGTGTGTGCTCATGATCCCAAGAGGAGAATGGAGAAGGGATTACGGTGTGGCCATCCCCCCGGGGGGTGATTTCTCACTTTCTGTCTGTCTCTCTGACAGGTGCACATGCCTTACGGCAAAAATCTCTCTCTGAAAAAAAAACAGTAATGTTGGAAAGACGTGCTAAGCTAAGCTGCCCTGGAAATGGCGTGATGGTGATGGGCCAATGGGCAAGCCCATGGGAACGTGGGGAATAATGCTGGTCAGTCCTTCTGGTTTTATCCTCTTAACTTGCTTTTAAGAGAATTAAGTATAGGATTTGTTGGGACTAGCGGTTGGTGTAATGTCTATGTCGCTGGACTCCCATGTAATTGATCGTGTTTCGAGTCATGGACCTGGTTAAACTCATGCCAGGCGTGCATGCCCAAGATCCCGAGAGGAGAATGGTGGAGAAGGGATTGCAGCGTGGCCATCCCCCCTGGGGGATGATTTCTCGCTTTCTGTCTCTCCATCTCTCTCTCTCTCTGGCAGCACACGTGCCCTATAGCAAAAACCTCCCAAAACAAAACAAAACAAAAAAGATTTATTATATGACAACACGTAGTTTAGTAACTTCCTGCTATTTTAACTGTACATGCAGCGTTATAAAATATACTGATTATCTCTGGAAAGATTAGCTTTTTATTTTTAATAGTTTCGAGTAATGCTGAATTTTTGTCAGTACTTATCATTTTGATCCACGGTTTATTCTAAAAAGTGGGCTCTAGAGAGGTCAAAATCCAAATTGTAACCACCAAGTTCATTGGTCAGTTTGAGCTAGAGTGTCTCCTACAAGAAAAACAAAGGGAAGTTGAAGTATCCATGGAAAAGGGACCGTAAGGATTAACAATGGGCTTCTGCTTTGGGTCTTAGCCAGCTAGATGTTTTGAATTTGACCTTCAGTGGGGACAACTAAAAATTCTGGATGAAAATTTTTTTTTTGGAGAGGTTTTTCACTATAGGGTGTGTGTGCTCGCCAGACAAGAGAGACATAGAGACAGAAAGCGAGAAATCACCCCCCAGGGGGGATGGTCACACCACAATCCCTTCTCCTCCATTCTCCTCTCAGGATCTTGGGCACGCACGCACACGCTCCCGGCGTGAATTTTAAACCACCGGGTCTGGGACTCAAACCGCGGTCGACTACGTGGGAATCTAGCGACATAGCCATTTTACGCTAACTGCTGGTTCCCTGGATGAAATTTTTTAACTGATCAAATATCAAAATAAGTGATTTTTGGCAAAAATCTATAAAACCAGGGGAGACCAGTCAAACTCTTTTGGCTTGAGGCAGGCCACTAGTGTATTTGGCAGCTTTTGTGTGCAGTTATTAAAAAATATTCCCCCGTAGGCATAGTTGCAGAGGCTGCATTTGGACCCCACTGGCCTTGCTTAGCTGGGCATCTTTGGGCAAGGTGCTCCCTGAGGTCATTTGCAGAGCCAAAAGAAACAACTGAGAATGGAGCTGTGGTTTTAGAAAATTTCTGAGGCCAGGGGACAGATGTCAAAGCCCACGGCTTGCCAAGGAAGTCTGATGATCCCTCACATGCATGAAGCTGGGACTGCAAAGGCTGAATATACAGAGTAAGGGTGACCCAGGAGGAAACACCTGTGATCATGACCGGGAGGATCCAGGGAATCTCAAGGCTACAACGTGAATGAGTAGGATCCCGGACTAGTGTCCCTAGGCATATGACAAAAGCAAAGGAACAAGATACATTCATCCCAAAGAAAGAGTGGGAACAGAGCAAAACACCCTCCCCTACCCCTGCAAAAACAAAAATATTTGAGATACTGGAACTATAAGACACAGATGGAAAAACTATGTTTAATTATAAACAACCCAAAAACCATCTGAAATATCTTCAGAAACGGAGTGATATTTAGTACCAAAATTAGATTTTAGACAAGAAAAAATAGTTGAAATGAGATGTACACACCTGAAGAAAATAGTGAATTGGAAAACATTAGAATAAAGCAAAGAAACTAAAGATGAAAAATATGGAAGAGAGACTAAGGACAAAAGTAAAAAGAGAAAAGTTCGTGACATAGTGGGTAAGGTGCTGGTGTCCCAGACCCGGAGGTTTGAAAATCACACAGGGAGCGTGTACACACGTGCCCAAAATCCTGAGAGGCGAACGGAGGAGAAATTGTTGCATGGCCATCCTCCCAGGGGACTGATTTCTCACTTTCTCTCCTGAGTACATGCACCCTATGATAAAAACCTAAACAAAATGATCAGTATACATACACACATACATATAAAAGCTTATTATGTCTAATTAGAGTACCAGAAGGAGAGGAGAAAAAAGAATGCCCAGAAGTAGTGTTTGAGAAGTTTCCAGAATTGATGAAAGATCAGTCCTCACATCCAAG